AAGGACACTGGATCTTAGGCGGCGTGAATCATTCAATAAAGTCTGAAAATTCCAAAATTCGTGAAAAAAAAACATATTTCTGAATTAATTTTTCAATAAAAATCGTTTATTCGGCTGAAATATGCACATTTTCAGTGCAAAAATTTTCTGGCAGAATCTGAAAATACTGAAAATTTTTGGAAAACGAATTTTCGGAAATTCCAGTTTTTCTTAAAAACTGGATTTTTTTAATCGATTTTTCAAATTTTTAGTTGCAGAATTTTCACAAAATAAAAACCAAATTAAATGCTTGAAATCTTTTCAAAAATCACTGAAAAAATTTCAAATTTCTCGAAAAAAAGAATCATAAATCCTCAGGTAAACGATTCGGAATTAGATCTGAGTTCATTCGGAATTGGATCTGGGTTCGTTCGTAAATAGAAGTGGCATGATCTAATACAGAATTTAGCTGATCTAATTCCGAACGAACACCGAATGAACTACGAACGAATTAGATCTAATTTCGAACAGACCAGCGTGATTTCGGAGCATCGTAGCGCGCGCTTTTCAAATTTTGTTTTCTTTTCAACGCCATTCACTTTATTTATAATAAAATTTATTAAAAAAGAAAACAGAACAAGTATGAGAAAAAGAAAAACGGTTGATTAAAATTTAGAAATAGGAAATCGGAACGAAAATGAGGGGTGTGATACAAATGAATGAATGGGATCAGCAAAAAAGAAAACGATGAGATCAGCGAGAATAATGGGAACTATGAGATAAGAAAAAGTGACGAAATTTATGAAAAAAAAATCTCAATTCGAATTCTTCCGCTCGTCCATATTTTCGATTTTGAACGTTTTTGATTCTGTGATGTCGATAAGGAACTTACTTGAACCATTTCAATATAATTTCCGTACTCAAATCTTCGCAAATCCAAATAAATTCCTTAGAGCAGTTGTTTTATACAACAAATCCCAAATTTTTGAATAGTCTTAATCGGGTCAGAGAAATTTATCATCTCTTTTTTTCTTGTTTTTTCGGTGATCCCTTGCATCGTTTTTACGTAATCCTTTAATCTGAAAAGGGCTAAAATTATCTTACCTGCAGAATTTTCTCCGAATTTAGAATCTTAAAAATATTCGTATTTTTGTCGGTTCATAGAATTACTGTCTTCTATAGAAGTCGTATATATAAATTGAACTTTGAATAGTCAGCTGTCCCTAAAAAAATTCACCTAAAATTTTGCAGAAACGTGCACAACACATTAAAATATGTTCCAGAAAATATAGTTTAAATAATTGAGCGAAAAAAAGGCAAAAGTTGAGAGAAAAACCCATTTTCCTGACGAAAAAAATTTAGGACAACAAAAAAAAAACAAAACAATTCATCCGCGGCAGCTGAGTCATTGATGGCGCATTTCTCGTGGCAACTTCGGTATTAGATCTAGTCCAGATCTAATTCCGAATGAACTCAGATCTAATTCCGAATTTCGAGTTATTCGATCTAATTCCGAATCGTTTACCTGAGTCCGCCTTTAAAGGTGGTGTACGGTGAAAATTTTTATTGCATCAAAATGTACAGAAATGCATGTAGATTAACATAAAAATGAAGAAAAAATTCGATAAAAAAATCCTTCATCGAGAAAATAGCATCGAAAAATAGGCAGAAAGCCCTTAGGGACGAGCTTTTTTCGCTTGTTTTTCTAGGCCACCCGGTGAAAAAAAGCGCGC